TGACCGGGACACCATCACAACATGACCGGGACACCATCAAAACATGACCGGGACACCATCAAAACAGGACTGGGTCACAATCAAAACATGACCCGGACGCCATCAAAACATGACCGGGACACCATCCGCCCACCAGCTCTGACGGTGACCCGACGGCGCCCGTCCGCCTATTAGTTTTGCAAGACCCCATAGCATGGCTATTGGGGAAAAAGTATTTCTAGAATTTATTGGTTCACATTTTTTGAATTTAAGAAATGTTACGGTTGCATTCAGGTGCTGAGGTCGAAACGCTTCAAGTGCCCTGCCATGACCAACACTGATTTCACCTGCCAAAACAGAAGAAAGCGAACCCGGTCTGACACCAAACATAAACAAGAAAGGCTTGAAAACAGGACAGGAAAACTGCGCGCATGCCAAAGTCCTCGGCAAAAAGGGTTGAAACTGCTCTCACATTTGGTAGGAAGTACAATCACACCTTGCCAAAAATAACCACCGCAAGCGCAGGAGCACATATTGGTCATCACAAACTCGATGTCTCTCTGTTTGTTTGATGCTACACGCTATTAGGTTTGAGGCCAAGAAAAAAGAACAGGAATAAAGGTTTGTCTCTTTCCGAGTCTCGTAGTGATCTTGCTTTGAAAGCTGTTCCGAGGACAAGCGGTAGAGGTTCACCATCTTGCGTGCCTCACGGCCGTGTCACGGCAGACGGTGGACAAGGGCCCTTAGGATCCAACCTAAGAGCGTCCTTGCTCCTAGCAAAAGAAAAGAATGATAGTAGTTGTTTCTTTTCTCTTCCAAAAACGATGGTGAAAACACGATGTTCTTTCAAAAGGGCGAAGGGAAAGAAATGCGAAGACCTTTAGATCGAAGACTGGAGCAATGTTCGCTACTAGGGGCTCCTGGCATCGCTACTAGGAGCAAGGGCCTTACTACTAGTAACAAGACGCTAGTAGAAACAATAAGAAGCTATAGAATTTAATTAGAATTAAGTGTAATTAGAAGTAAAGAAGGCTACTAGGACCTTTCGCTCTTTTTTTGTGTTCTTTGGATCTTTAGATCTTTTTCTTCCTTTTTCCTGAAAGGAAGAAGTTGCTTGATGTCTTGTCGACGTGTCAGCTTTCCCGGTCCCATCCATTTTCCCGGACGCACCAGCATTTTGGCTGCATTGAAGCCTTCCGAGTACAAAATGATCTCAGCCTGGCAGTAGTGGAAAGATGTTCAGCAATACAATCCGATCTCAACCGCATCTGATTCCAAGTGCCTGAGCTGCCTGGTAGTGTTATTAGTGTTGGGCCTGTTGGGCCCCAAGCACTTTGTAGGGCTTTTCCGAAAGCAGTCTGTATCGGATCTTCAAAGGCCAAGCAGCAATCAGACCATAGTCTGGCACCATCATTGCCTCGGACGAGATCGTCTCGAAGAAAAGCGCGAGAAATCCCGAAAAAATAGAAAGGCCTAATATAGTTTGACTAGAGGCCATCGCTAGTAGAGACCATCGCCAGTAGTAAGAGAGAACAAGAAATAGAGTTTAAAGCAAATATATAGCTACTAGTAGCGTCCTTGCTCCTAGTAATAAGGCCAGGAGCCCCTAGTAGTTCTTGTTCCTAATAGCAAAAAATAACTGCTCAACAAAAGTAACTGCTCTGCATCAACCTGAGGCGGTGGACCACAGGACGGAAGAGTGCTTTCAGGTTGTCCGGAAGCTCTGCACGACCCGCGTAACCGGGATTCATGGTGATGTACACCTCAACTACAACACGCATTTGTACTTTAAAGAAAACCGAAAAAAGAAAAGCTCTAAAGTCTAAAGGTTTAAAGGTCTAAAGAAACGACAAAACTGTGTTTTCAAAAAGATAATGCATACTACTACTCATTGCTCAAAGTCACTACTGAGTTGTGATCAAAACATCCAAGGCATGCGTTGAGGCATGCGTTGTTCTTTGCGTTGCTCTTTGGTGACTGAGGTCAAGACCCCAAATCTCCGGTTCAAAGGAATCTCATTGCCGAGAAACTCGAAAACCTCTTTGCGCTGTCGAATGGCCTGGCACATCAGGAAGCTCAACTGCTGTAGCTTTGGTTGTCTTCTTTGCGTTTTAGGTGAAGCTACTAGGAGCAAGGACGCTACGATCGGGGCTCCTGGCATCGCTACTAGGAGCAAGTGCCTTACTACGAACGTGTAACAATGTTTGCTATTAGCTTATTGTTTCTAATAGCAAACATTGTTACTACTAGTAAGGCACCTGTTACTACTAGCGTGGCACTTGTTACTAGTAACAAGAAGCTAGGTCCACTCCCAAGTTCTCGGGAGTTCTCCGGGTGTTCTTGCGGCCCCAAACCACTTGGTCTTGCGTTCTGCGTTCGTTCTGCCTGGGTGACGGTCAGCATTTGCTGTGCGATCACGCTGAGGACCTCCACTTGGATTCGATTGAACCTTGGAAGGGAACAAAGGGAACGAAGGGAACAAGAAAAGGCGAACCGAAGGGAACCATGGGGGGGGGGGTAGGAAGCTACTAGTAACAAGTGCCTTACTAGTAGTAACAGGTGCCTTACTAGTAGTAACAAGAAGCTACTAGGAACAAGTGCCTCGCTACTAGTAACAAGTGCCTTACTAGTAGCAACAAAAAGCTATTAGAATTAACTTAAATCAAATTAGAAGCCTAGGAAACTAGTAGCTTTCTTGTTACTACTAGTAAGGCACTTGTTACTAGAAGCGATGCACTTGTTCCTAGTAGCGTCCTTGTTACTACTAGTAAGGCTCTTGTTGTTTGAAACCTAGGAAACTTTCATGAAGACTAAGGCTCTTTTCAATAGAGGAGAACCTCCCCCGCTCTTACTTAATTAAGTAGGCGCCTACTCAATTAAGTAGGGGACAAACTGGTTCGCTCCTAGCTACTGAGACGCCACAAGTAACTGGACGCAGGATTGTTAGGGAAATAAATTCTTGCCACTTTCATATTACAACCTGCAGAGCGTCCATTGTTCCTAGTAGCGAGGCCAGGGGCTACTAGTAGCGTCCTTGCTACTAGTAGCGATGCCCTTTGTTCCTAGTAGCTTCTTGTTACTAGTAGTAGTGGCCTCCAACCTACTAGAAAGAAAAACTCAGGTAGCTGGTGCTACTGATGAACTCTATTAATCGACCTTTCTTCACGTAGTAGCGTCCTTGCTCCCAGTAGTAAGAATGCTCCTAGTAGCGATGCCAGGAGCCACTAATCACTAATAGCGTCCTTGTTCCTAGGAGAAATGCCCTTTGCTCCTAGTAGCGATGCCGTTTGAAAACAGAACGGCAGGCCCTGAGAGTGCAGTTCTTTGCTATTTTTTATTTGTTCTTAGGCCTAGATTTTACTACAGAAACTGCATTCCCAGGGTGGCAGCAGGCAAGGCAAAGCAATATTTGGATCTAGAGTGGTACCAAAAACATTTAATCTCTGAGAATATTAATGTCCATATTCAAAAACATGTATAGAAGCAATTGTTTTAAAGCTTACCTTTTCATTTCTGAAAATAATCATTTCTATATTTAAAACTGCCTTCTACGTTGTAAGTGTTTTTTCCAAAAACGGTTCCCTAGATTTCTGGGATTGATCACGTCTATATTCAAGGCTAATATCCAAGGGTGCATTTCAAAAGCTGTCCCCCAGATCTTTGGACATGATGATTTGTTTGTGTATTTCACAAGAAAGGATCTCTGTGAATAAATATTTCTATGTTTTAAAAACTTTCTATAAACATATATAAAATAAAATTGTTTTGCGCAAACTTACCTCCAGATCTCTGGGATTGATCACTTCTATATTGATAAACTTTGTTTGACAACTTCTATTTTTATAGTTTTCCTCTGGACCTCTGGGAAAGTAGATTTTCTAGAGGTGTGTTCTCTGGAAATTTTATGCAAAAAATATATACATATATATTTTTATTTATTTATCCGCCACTTGAAAAACCAACCCTTTTATGGAACACATAAATACAGACCCCATGGGACAACACTATAACAAAAAGGCTTTCAAATATAGTTATATAATGTAAAAAATCCAGAAATTCCAGAGATGAAGAGGAAAACTCTTGAATTAGCAGTTTTAAAATATTTTGTTATAGAAGGGATCATTCCAGAGATCTAGAGGAAAACCTTTGGCATAGAAACTTTTATACAAAGCTTTCTTAATATAGACATGCGTATTCCAAATATTACTTGAACAAGTCTATCTGTCTACCTAAAAGGCAATGTTTTGACCTAGTTCCCAGCACTCCAGGGCAATAAAACACTGTAAAACACATGATTTTATATCACTGTGTCTTAAACTCACACCCCCAGCAACACCTGCTCTCTGGAATTAATTCAAGGATCAAATGTTCACAATCAAAACATCATATGTTTTCCAAGAAATATGAGATTTGACCCTATAGTGATTATGCCAAAGTTTTACTATACCTTAGTCTAAAGAAAGTTTTAGCTGTTGCAGTAAAGGTACCCTTCTCACACCAAATTGTCTTGCCAAACTCTCACCTTCTAGCTCTGCCATCACAAGAAGGCCAGACTCAAAGGCAACTGGACACTATATAGATGCTGATAAGCCACAAAACTATACATGTCAAATGACTCAATGGAATTCTAAAAATAGCAAAAAAGTGCACTCTCACAGCCTGCCACTCTCTTTGAAAACTAGTGGCGATGCCCTTTGTTCCTGGTAGCTTCTTGCTCCTAGTAGTAAGGACGGGAGCCCCTAGTAGCGGCCTTGCTCCTAGGAACCAAATCATGTGAAGGTGTTCCTCCCGCCTGAGTTTCCCCTAAAATCTAGGAACCCAATGAAGCGTGCGAGGGCTTCTTCAGAGAAACTCCCCCGCCGCCGTTTACGGGAGCCTAGTAGCTTCCCTTCCCTACTAGCTACCTCTTACTTAGCTACTTAGCTCCTAGCTACTCCCTTCCCCACCAACTAAAAGGGAGCAAAAGCAGCTGTCTTTCAGCAAGGCACTCATCGAAACACGCCCAAGCTCCAGCTTGCGCAAGTCCAGAGAAGAAACGCCCCATGATCTTGTAGTCCAAGCCATCTGAACCTCAACTCTCTGAGTTCCGAGGTCCGCCCCTCCTCCCTCCTCCCTCCTCCCTGAAAAATCAGGAGCCTGAGGTAGCAAGTAGATTAAGTATCTACTAGGAACATTCATCCAGGATAGCTCACGCTCGCACTATTCATTTGGTTCCTAGGATTTTAGGGAAACTTAACCCATGTTGCGATGGCCTCCACCCTAGTAGCGACTTTTTAGGGAAACTTCAGCCATGTCTTTCGCAGTGTTTTCTAAAAGGCGAAGAGACGGGGGGCGCATGGACAGGCTGAGTAGTAGCTTCCTTGTTACTACCAGTAAGGCACCTGTTACTAGTAGCGTGGCACTTGTTTCGACTAGCTTTCTTGTTACTACTAGTAAGGCACTTGCTACTAGAAGCGATGCACTTGTTCCGACATGCTCTGGACGAGGAATAGGGAAACCAAAACGATTGCCATGTCGCAACTTGGATTCCTTACTACCTTCCCCCCAAACTCAACCCCCTCGCTTGGAACAAGAAAAAGCAGAAAACACATGGCCTCCAACCTAATAGAAAGGTCTGAAGGTCTCAATTCTAATATTCTAATAAGAAACACCTTCACAGTCCATGTCTTCCTGCAAAGCGCAGCAAAGCGACAATTGAAGACAACCACAGGGACTGCAAGTGCCTTGCCGAGGTCCTTTGTAGTCTCAGTCTTTCCTGCAAAGCCAAGTGATTCCGAGAAAAGTGAACTGTTCCTAGTAGCTTCTTTGTTACTACTAGTAAGGCACTTGTTACTAGTAGCGAGGCACTAGTAAGGCCAGAAAACTGAACTGTTCCATTTCGAACCGTTGAAGCTGTTCTTCCTTCCTTTCTGTTCGCCGTCTTCCATAACGACGCGTGCTCGCTTGCACACAGTTGGACGGGACATGTGACAAGAAGCTACTAGCCTTACTAGTAGTAACAAGAAGCTACTAGCAACAAGTGCATCGCTTCTAGTAACAAGGGCCTTACCAGTAGTAACAAGAAAGCTACTAGGAACAAGTGCATCGCTTCTAGTAA